TTTGTTTTACAGCACTAAACATGGACTGTCAAATGCCAGACCTCAGTGGTGTCACATTCAGCGGTTCTACATGATGAGAATCTCCATCAGTGTCAGTACAGCTCTACTCAACTCAGTAAAATATTCAGCAATTTTCATTTCATTATTAACAGAGTTGAGTCTTCTGGAAGCCCAACACTAAATTAAATGAAACAACAATAATCCAGTACAGCTGGACACCTAAACACCTGGAAACGCAGGCTAATGGAAAGCCTTTGGAGTTCCTCTACAGGTCTACTCACGTGTCCACATACTTGGCCTTTACTAGAGCTTTGATGCTTCGTACTGCTCTCTCTGTGGTGTTAAAAGCCCAGAACCCTCTGAACTCCCTGGTGCTTCCAGTGGTCCAGATGATACTAAAAGAGAGGAGGTTGGAAGATAAACGGTTATCCTTTGAGGACACCTGACGGCCCATCATGTTTATTGGTCGTTCAGCTTGCTGCTAAAATAACTCCTTCACTTAAATCAAACAGTTTTATTTTGAAAAGCTAAGGGGAGGAAAATAAAACTGCGTGTTCACTTGTATGTTCAAAACTGGTGATGGGATCTTTAAAAAAAGACAAAAAGAAAATCACATCTGACTTGTTTCAAATTAAGGTTTAGTCATCCAGAAGGAAGGGAGGTTAAGTTTCATGTTTAATCCCCACCCCTGCTGACCAGGTTACGGTTAAACTTAACACTTTAACACATTTAAACACATTAACAACAACCAGACTCTTAATTTCTCCTCTCTGTTTGCTGTAGTATCCCTGAAGATGCCCTGTGGAGGTCCCATGGTCAATTTGTTTGTTTCACAATAAACATTCAAAAGCTGAATATCTTGAACACCTGAATCAGAAATCCAGGAAAAGTGTTCTTTCTTAGCTCAACAGCACCCCTAGTGGTGGAAAAAAGAAAGGAAAAACCTCCACAGGGCACCTTGAAGATGTCTTTGAGTTTAAAAAGTTCCTTCACTGGCATTTTTCGTCTTGTAGCTTTAAAGATGACTTCAGGAATTTCCTCTTTTAAACGGTATTCTTAATTTATTAAGTAACTAAAACTTTACTTTATTAAAAAAATTTAAAAAAAATATGTCAATCTCAATTCCGAAAAGTTGCTTTTAGCTTAGTAGGTGGAAACTTCCAAATGCAGATAATTCTAAAGAATTTTAGTGTTTACAGATTTAATGTAATTATTTATTTCTAAACTGCAGTTTCAGGTTGTTGTAGTTTTTTGTTTGTTTTTTTTTGTTTTTTTAAAATTACATTAATCACCATTAGCAGAACCAACCAAGTAAGACCAACAGCTTTGGCAACGTCACAAACCACCTGGTTACATCTGGCTGTTTGATTTTAGTGTGAACAGGACAGTTGGCATTCGTTTCCTTTTTTCCTGCTCGATTGGTGCTGCTCCTCTAGCACGAAGTTGTGAATAAATCCTTCGGTATCTTCTGTCACATCAGTTCTGCTCCTCCTCGCACTCGCCTCTGATGTGTGTGTTTTTTGTTGTTGTTTTTTTGGGGGGGGTTCTGAGGAAAAACTTTGAACCTTCAAAAATATCTGTTAAACTGCCAGAACTACAAACAGTACAGGATGGAGGACTGTGGCTCTTTAATCGAAAATAAATAAATAAATAGGTTCTAAATCTATAATTTTCTATCATAAACTAACCAGTTTAATGTCAGAGGATATTACAGGTTTTTTTTTTATTATTTTCTCTCCTTTAGTCTTTAAATCAAGTTTTTAAAGCAAAATTGGTTCCTACCTCAGTTTAACATTGGTCAGTGTGACTTTAATAACCTGAAGCTATATATAATATAGTCCATAGTTTATTTGTTCATTTCCAAAAATGTAAAACTTTGAAAGGAAAATCTCAAAGGTTTTTACAACCGTAATCTCTGTTTCATAATGTTTCTTGCAAATTTAAGACATTTCTGAGGTTTTTATTGGACATTTGAGTTTTATAACCTCAACAAATACTTCAGTGCTTTCTTAGAAGTGTACTGAGAGACTTTGTTTTTAACCATCAAAGAATATTAGTTTTTCCATCTCAAATTTAGAAATTCAAACTTTATGACCTAAATACATATTAGTTTATTTTCTTTTAATTTAAATTTGATTTTATTGTATCAAAAGAATTTTTTTTACTAATTTATATTAAAGTTTTGTCCTTCCTGTGATTTTTATATTTTCACAGAATATCAATGTAGTTTTTTTGGTTTGCAAATAAACAGCAAACCTAGGAAACAATATTAGATTTTCATTTCTTTTTCTTTTTTTGACTTTTTGTCTCAGAGATCAGTCGTATCCAGTGAATTAACAGCTTTAATCTCACAGCATTTTTGATATTTTTACAAGTTTGATTTCAATAAAATTGCAGTTTTTCTCACATTTTTTTTTCAACCATCTCAGAAATGTTTGTTTTCCTTAACATTAAAATCTATAATTTCATAATACCTCAGAATATAAGAGTAGTCCTTGCAGATTATGCCTCTCGTTTTAAGAATATTACAGTTTGTTCCCACAACGTTGCGACTTTAGCTTCAGACTTTTCCTCTGAGGATAATCGCCCTTCCTCGGCTCCTCTTTTTAAACCTTATGTAATGCCCCCAAACACTTATTTATTCTTTGAATGCAGTTTTACGTCAGTGATTCGTTAATTCTCAGAATTGATTTGATGCCACTTTAATAAATTGCCTGCGCGGGGCTGGAGGAACAGGGATTAAGTACTGTCTTCACTTCATGGGGTGAAAGCGGCGCTGATGCTGTTAACAGGATTTAGTTGGAGTGCAGTTTGATTCACCAGGCTTTTGACGCTGGGCTTCCCTCCCAGATGACGCCAGTGAAGGAACACATCACCAGCTGTCCTGTTTCCTGTGGTTTAACGTTACAGTCCTCATGCTCATGAGCGGTGCCTGACTGATGGATTTAAGCTACTTCATATCAGCCGCGTCGGTTTTCCAACCAAACGCGCTTCCTGGTTCTCGTGTACAGTTTTTCTTTGTGTGATTTCAGGGATCAGATTGGTGCAGGTCTCTGTTGCTTTCTCACGGTCACCATTATGATCATGATGATTCAGTGTGTGTGGAAGTTGAATATGAGGAGGACTTGATGCATGATCAAAGCTCTTTAGAGTCGCACAGATCTTCTTTCTCAGTCGCCTGTTCTGTTCATTGAATGTCTCCATTTATGCTTTCTGGACACAACATTATTCTTTGGGTTTAACTGTTCTTTATTTATGAAGATGTATGTACTGATAATAATAATAAAAAAAAACACAGAGAGAGAGAGAACTGCTGTGTGGCAAAGCCTTTCAGATTTCATCCACTAGGTTTCCTGTTTGTCCACACTCTGTTCTCAATTTGTTTTGTAACTGCTGATAAGTTTAGTCCAAACTGAAGTGAAGAACTTTGGATCCAGACAGTTTGGAGTTCCACGTTTTCCTGATCACAGTAGTTCCAGGACATCGGTGTAAAAATATGACAAAGCAATAAAGATGGAGTGGTTTAAAAAATAATGTGTTTTTTTTTTCTTTGCTTGTTTGTTTGTTTGTTTGTTTGTTTTAAATCCTCAAACATTTAGACCAGTGGTCCTCAACCTTTTTTGCGCCACAGACCCTTTTATGTCTGACAATATTTTCACGGACTGGTCTTTAAGGTGTCACGGATAAATACAACAAAATAAAAAAATAAATAAAAAAAGGATTTCTTCATAACACACGGGAAAAGAGCCAGGGAAACAGAGTTAACGATAAAACCCCTTAAAACCATGAATTTCATACCCGGTACCAAACGCCTCACGGACTGGTGGTTGGGGACCACTGATTTAGAACAGTCCAAATTCGAGGGCCTTTCCTCATGTAGATAACAAACTGCAATTCAGTAATAGGGGCATTTTGTCTGCCCAAGAAAAAGAAGCTTGCCTTATATGTGACATTAGCAACTCCTTACAAATCTATTATAACAAATTAACTTTTTATTAAAAAATAAATAAATCAGCATTAAATCATCTTTATCAGAGGACTGAAATTCAAACAAACAAAAATATTTTACACAGTCAAAAACTGCTGTGATTGTACCACCTTCAAATACAGTAATGTAAAGTTCGTCTGTCTGTACCTTAAGATTTAAATAATGATCATTGGCTAAAACTTGCTGTATTCCTGATGCAGCCCTCCCCATTTCTCCAGGCCTGGGATCCAGTGCTAAGAGTATATGTGCACACTTCTTAAGTATTTACCTTTTGCAAGTTAAAAAACTGCATTTTATATGTATTTGATCTCAATCTGAAATATACAGGCAGACATTTCAGTCTTCACCTGCTTTCAACTAAATCAGTGGTTTCCAAACTCTTTTTGCTAGGCCCCCCTTTGTTTTACAAGAAAAATGTTCTCACTGTAACTTTACTGTATAAAGAGCTAACATCTCCAAAATGTCAGGAGTAGTTCTGACATTCTAAAAATCAAGAATGTGGGATACTGTTTGTCCGTGATTTAAACAGCCCAGCATGTGCACCCAATGAAGGGGAAACCAATGCTGCAGGGGAGACCAAAGGGAAGACATGCTTCACCATATTTTCTAGTCTTTGGCTTGGAATGAAGTTGGTTTGGAAACATAATCAGCTATGCTTAATCTCCTGCTTTGCGTTTTTGTAGGCGCCCCGTGCTAGCAGTGTCCAAGCGTTTTGTCCTCCCCCCCCTCCCTTTCATACCGTGCCCCCCCTGCCATGGCTCTGCCCCCCCCCCCCCCCCCAGGGGGCGGGCCCCACACTGTGGCAAGGTCTGAACTAAATGATATATCCGTAAACATATTTATTTGGATACTTTAACATGGGGACCAGCTCACTGTTAAGAGCCACTAGTGGACACTAGAGGGACTGCAGGTTTTGGTGTTTTGTCTGCAGCCACCCCATCAAAAAACCGTAGAAACGCCCCTGAATGATGGATGTGACTGGAGAAGACATGAAAAGCAGACAGGTCCGCTTTGAATGCGTTTTTTAATGCAGATTTGTGATATTTCCGCAGTGCTTTTGTACTCAGCTGCCGGTAAAGGTGTCAGGGGAGGTCATGTGGAGATTCAGTACCGCTGCAGGGGAACCGGAGGAGTCGTGACTTGCAGCCCGGTGCGGTGTCTCTTTAAGCGCAGGGCGGTGAGCAGATTTCCGATCGTGCACGAAGCGGATTACAGTCCCTGACATCAGTCCTCCTCATCCTCCTCCTCTTCCTCCTGTTCCTGCTGCTCAGCTGATCCGGAGGATTCCCTCTGCGGGGACACTCAGCACAGCCCCGCCTGTATGCTCGCCTCCGCTCGCCTCCATCATGGACTTCAACGTGAAAAAACTGGCTTCTGATGCGGGGGTCTTCTTCACCCGGGCAGTGCAGGTAAGACCGGACCTCCCTCCAGCTGCAGGCGGTGATGTGTGGACCGATTTATTGCTAGGCTCTCACTGCATCCCGTTGGGCCTGGAGCTCGATGAAAGCAGCTGAAGCCTTGCGTTTTCTTCGTGAGGTCTGTGGGTATAACGGAGTGTATTTGTGTGGCGTGTTTTCCATGCAGACCGAGCAGCCCGCTGCGTGTAAGCCGATAAAGGTTTGTCTAGCCTCGATCCATTATTGATGGCTGTGATCGGGTGCATCACCCATGTGACTCCAGCAGACTCTGTCCTGCTCCCCTCCAACTCCCCAACATAGAGATTCATTCATTTATCTGGCTCACCAGCAGTAAACAGCATTAAATCCTTCACTCTCGAGAACTTGTACACCAAACCTCATTCGAAAAATTGGAAATTCATTGATAAAGTCTGTGCTACGAGTCAGGTAATGAGCAGAACAATACTGGATCTTTAGGCTTCAGTAAGAAATTCGGCAGCCATATGATACACTTTTTATTAAAAGCTTAAAAAGGTCTCCCATCTCACTCAACAAAGAAAGAGAAGACATCAAAACTGTATTTAAAACGTTATAATCAGGATACATTGAATTGTTACAGTAAGAAGCAAATATAAGATTAAAGTAAAAAAAAAAATGAGGGCACTTCAAAGAGTCAAGTTTTTAAGCCCTGTTTCAAACTAACTCACCATATTTTCAGGATGTTTGTTCCACAGCTGGAGAGCATGAAAACTGAAAGCTACTTCACTTTGTTTAGTTCCCATTTGTCGCAAGTAAATTCACATGCATCTATACCCAAGTTCATTTAGTGCTGCGTAGACTAAGAGCTGGGTTCTTGGGATCCCCTTTGGGCATTAGTGGGTGAGTTGCAGTTGTCTGTCACCTGTAAAGACAATAGTCTACAGTGCAGGAGGTCAAACTGACTTTCATTAAAGGCTGAAGTCGGTTTGGGATCACATCAAGGGCCACATAAAAACAGGGTCTTCTGTATAATATTGTTGAACATTGTGGATAGAATTTAATCTGCATAAAAGCCTCAATGACGCAACAAAAATTCAACAAGTTGCCTCATTGTTTCTGAGCAAGTCGAGCACAACAGCTGCTTATTTTCACTGTTTCTGTTAAAATCCTGAACATGGATCCACGTCACACCAACTCTGCAGTTGGTGTGACGTGGAGCTGGAGGTTGTCCAAGTGCATTGTGGGAAAACACAGGAAACCAATGAAGGCAGGAAGCGGGATAAAAAACAAACAAAAAACAGCTCTACACAACACCAGAAAACCATTAACTGTTTCTGTATTTTACATGTCTACACGTGTCATATATGACTCACGGACTGGGAGTGAAAGGGTTCCTGCACACTGACTTGAAAAGTCTGACCAACCATTAGTGAGACACTAAGAGAGAGAGGGAGAGAAAGAGACTCAGTCGTTGTTCTGTGTCTCTTTGTGGTTGGTGCTGCCAGGGCCGGCCCGTGGCATAGGCCGTATAGGCAAATGCTAAGGGCGCCGTCCATCAGGGGGCGCCACGCCAGTGCCACAAATGTTGAAAAAAAAAAAAAAAGTTGGTACTATTATTTCTAAATACAAAAAATAATCCCACGTTAATTAAAATGCAAAGTAAAGCTTATTTAATAGAAATATTATTTGTTACAACATTACACTACACTGCTGATGTAGGGGGGCGCCACCTAAAATCTTGCCTAGGGCGCCAGATTGGTTAGGGCCGTTTCTGGGTGCTGCGTCTGGGTGCAGATTTTGACACAATGCAACTACAGTACTGGATGTTGTGTTTTAGTGGTGCCAGTGACCAAGCAAAAAACTTAATAAGCAAATTTAAAGACCGTTAGATTAAATTTTGTATTTGGATAAACACTCAAATTTATCCCAGTTTGACTCTTCAAGATTCAAGATTCAAAAGCTTTATTGTCAATACAGCAGTATACACAGTATACAGAAATTCTGTTTCATCCCAAGCCACCCATGGTGCATAAAAGATATAACTCCAAGAGATATAAAACTAGAAATTGCAAAGTGCTGAGTTAATGTATTTTGCATAGTCCTTAAATTGCTCTGCTGTAAAGGATGGGAACGGTTAATTAAATACCCACAAATTAATTAAAACTTGGTGGACCTACGGCTTTTACAGTCCCTAAGGCCCTAAGTGGAGTCCAGTAATCCAGCCCTGAATAAGAGACTGTCCATCGTAGAGCTCCTGAATACCTGCCAGTACTTTTGCCTTTTAAAGAACCGATCTGGCCCATGAAGCTGCTGTCAGTCAGAGCTTCTCCCTGCTGCTTGGTGACAGTGACGGTGAATTCCTCAGCCTGCCTCTGAAGTCCAGCTGGCCGCCGTCGCTGTATGTCAGTCAGATTTGAATGAAAGAAATCATCTGACAGCCCGGCCTGATACCACAGATGGTGATCTTTGGCCTCAGTTATTAGAGAGCAGAACTGGGCCTTCTCATCTTTGATTGCATAAGACATGCTTCAAAGTTCCAGTTAGTGAGAATAAAAACTTATGTGTAAGTTAGAAACTGAGGTTTAAGATAATTTGTCTGGGTCTTAAAATATGATGGGTTCGTTCTGATTATTATAGAATTGCGATCATAAAGATCGAGTAAACGGTGGATGAAGAGCATGAGGACAACTTTAAAAATTAAGATATTTTCACATTGGTTTGTAAAACCTTTGAGATTTTCTGTAATTTCTGTATAAATAAAAACTAAAATGCCATGTGATCCTTTTTTTTTTTTTTTAATGAACATCCTTTTGAAGTAGATGAAGAGAACCTTTGGACTTAGTCAAGGATTACCTTTTAATCTTGGGAATGCCAACCGAACAGTGACAAACTCTATTGATTTGGTGGTTTGTTGGTAGATAATTCATTCTGTTAAGTAAGTAATTCAATCTGTGACTTGTTGATTATGTCGCACTTCTTCTAATATGATCACAGATTAAGCATTATTAGAGATTTTACGATATGTACGCTGTGTTCACTGCATCATTCCATGTTTGGCACTGATCACCACCTGCACTCATGTATATATCATGTATATATCTATCTACTTAGCACTTTTAATTCTTATTCTTATTTTTATTTTCATGTCTATTTAAGCGTAATTTATGACAGTATGTTTGCACTGAAGCACCGCAGCAATTTCCTAATGTTGTAAACCTGCTCAACATTTGGCAATAAAACCCTTTCTGATTCTGATTCTGATATAGTATTCCATAGAAATCTAGGCAATAACTGTTGAGATGTTCACTCAAAGCTCCAAACATCAGCCCCATGCAGTCCCTCTCCACCTACGTGGGCCCGTGGCCCAAACGAGAATGGATTCCACCAAAAAAACAATTGGTGCCAGCAAAGTTGGAATGATGTTGAAGTGGCTATTGGACCCCTACAAAGCTTTTGGCAGATGCAGATCAGAATATTCCCCATGAAGTTACCCCAACTTCTGTAAAAATGCTATGTGATGATCAACTCTCAAAACTGTCAAAATATCAGCTGGTTTTCATAATCCAAACCGGCACTAGAACTGTGTGGTGATGGGCAGTGGATGACCTGGTTTAGATTCATACAGTCGTTGTTCTTCTAGAGCTTGTTTGCCTGTTATCAGTGTCATCTACCTGTGGCTTTTCACTCTTAGTTCACAGAAGAGAAGCTTGGCCAGGCTGAGAAGACTGAGTTGGATCCACACTTGGAGAACCTGATCACTCGTGCCGACTCCACCAAGAATTGGACTGAAAAGATCTTAAAACAAACAGAGGTGCTACTGCAGCCCAATCCAAGTAAGTTCTATACATCGCGGAAGTTCCCCTACATATACAGGGAGTGCAGAATTATTAGGCAAATGAGTATTTTGTCCACATCATCCTCTTCATGCATGTTGTCTTACTCCAAGCTGTATAGGCTCTAAAGCCTACTACCAATTAAGCATATTAGGTGATGTGCATCTCTGTAATGAGAAGGGGTGTGGTCTAATGACATCAACACCCTATATCAGGTGTGCATAATTATTAGGCAACGTCCTTTCCTTTGGCAAAATGGGTCAAAAGAAGGACTTGACAGGCTCAGAAATAGTGAGATATCTTGCAGAGGGATGCAGCAGTCTCAAAATTGCAAAGCTTCTGAAGCGTGATCATCGAACAATCAAGCGTTTCATTCAAAATAGTCAACAGGGTCGCAAGAAGCGTGTGGAAAAACCAAGGCGCCAAATAACTGCCCATGAACTGAGAAAAGTCAAGCGTGCAGCTGCCAAGATGCCACTTGCCACCAGTTTGGCCATATTTCAGAGCTGCAACATCACTGGAGTGCCCAAAAGCACAAGGTGTGCAATACTCATACTGGCCAAGGTAAGAAAGGCTGAAAGACGACCACCACTGAACAAGACACACAAGATGAAACGTCAAGACTGGGCCAAGAAATATCTCAAGACTGGTTTTTCTAAGGTTTTATGGACTGATGAAATGAGAGTGAGTCTTGATGGGCCAGATGGATGGGCCCGTGGCTGGATTGGTAAAGGGCAGAGAGCTCCAGTCCGACTCAGACGCCAGCAAGGTGGAGGTGGAGTACTGGTTTGGGCTGGTATCATCAAAGATGAGCTTGTGGGGCCTTTTCGGGTTGAGGATGGAGTCAAGCTCAACTCCCAGTCCTACTGCCAGTTTCTGGAAGACACCTTCTTCAAGCAGTGGTACAGGAAAAAGTCTGCATCCTTCAAGAAAAACATGATTTTCATGCAGGACAATGCTCCATCACATGCGTCCAAGTACTCCACAGCGTGGCTGGCAAGAAAGGGTATAAAAGAAGAAAAACTAATGACATGGCCTCCTTGTTCACCTGATCTGAACCCCATTGAGAACCTGTGGTCCATCATCAAATGTGAGATTTACAAGGAGGGAAAACAGTACACCTCTCTGAACAGTGTCTGGGAGGCTGTGGTTGCTGCTGCACGCAATGTTGATGGTGAACAGATCAAAACACTGACAGAATCCATGGATGGCAGGCTTTTGAGTGTCCTTGCAAAGAAAGGTGGCTATATTGGTCGCTGATTTGTTTTTGTTTTGTTTTTGAATGTCAGAAATGTATATTTGTGAATGTGGAGATGTTATATTGGTTTCACTGGTAAAAATAAATAATTCAAATGGGTATATATTTGTTTTTTGTTAAGTTTCCTAATAATTATGCACAGTAATAGTCACCTGCACACACAGATATCCCCCTAAAATAGCTAAAACTAAAAACAAACTAAAAACTACTTCCAAAAACATTCAGCTTTGATATTAATGAGTTTTTTGGGTTCATTGAGAACATGGTTGTTGTTCAATAATAAAATGATTCCTCAAAAATACAACTTGCCTAATAATTCTGCACTCCCTGTATAAAGTCGCATCTTCAACTCTGCGCACGGGGTTTAAAGAAGATGTAGTTCTTAAACTTGTTGACAAAAGATCTGTTCATACGTGTTTTGCTAATTGTTGCTCAGTAACATTAAGCTTTGAAACTAAAAGTTAAGGTTTCTACTAAAGAAATTTCCCTGGGAAGCAGAAACCGGTTGAGCTCTATCATTTCCACCAGAAGTTCCCGAATTCCAGCGATAGATTATTTCCCCCTTTCCCCTTTTGTTGAACTGTATATGTAATAAGTCTTTGCTCAGGAGCTAGTATTTTCTGAAGATTGACAACCTTCCCGTGTTAACAACTAATGCTAAGTGGTCATGTATAAAAGCTTTTTAATCTTGCAATTTTTTAATGCTCTACATTTCTGAGAAACCACTACTAAAAGCAGGATTTGTTTTTAGTGTCTGACAGTAATTGAAAATAATTAGCCAGGGGGATTTTGTGTTTGGACTAACAAGAAAGTCGAAGCTTCTGAGGTTGTTAGGTCAGAATTTGAGACAATTTCCCAAATTAATTTTAGTTTAATCAGTTTAACTTGCTGGAGGAACCTTCACCCTGGGGAAGGTTCCTGGACGTTAGTTCCTGGGTGTTTTGGGAACTTTCTCTGGAAATGTGCCTTTTAGAAGCTTCTATAGTTAAACGTGAACATGATTGGGTTTTTGGGAGTAATGCCTAACCTTTGACCTGTGTATTTTGTACCCTCCATGCTTCAGTTGACCACACTGGTAAGTCTTGGCCTTGTTTCCCAGAGTGCTTTGTGTAAAAAGCCTCCTCAGCATTGTGATGTGACTACAGATTATACATACATAGCTGTGGTCAAAAGTTTCCATAAACTCATCATGGGCAGGAATGTCAAAGTAATCTTGGGCTTGAGAGGTGGTGTAGTGGCATAAGGTTGGAAAGCCTCACATTTACTCCTCCAAACACACATATTGTCATTGTGGCCAAATAGCGGTGTTCATTTTAGAGCAGGGGCTTCGTTGTGGGTTGGTACCCTCTCAATCCAAGGTGGTGTAACGCTCTAGATAGTTTATTAAAAGCCCAAAATTACTCTGGTTTTTCATGCACATAAACTTCTGACGACATCTGTAGTCTAGCACATACCACAGACCTACAGTACGGCCCCACATTTTAAGCTTCAGGCACCGTCTGCTGTGCTGTTTAAGGTCTGAACTGGAGCTTGTAGATACAAACAGGTGTTGAATTACTAATGACCTTCTATTCAGGAAGACAGCTGCCAACTTTTGATGGGATACAGCCATTGATACCTTCGTGAGGCCTGGTTGATTCAAATACCATACTCGGGTACAATTGTATGTACTTGTATTTTTATTTCCCATCACACATTATACCAATCAGACCCATCAGATGGTTTGAAGTCATCCTGGAAACTATTTGGAGAAGGGCTGGTTCTTTGATATAATGATTAGCAGGCGATTGAACCATCTGTCTGTCACTGCTTTTCATGGGCCACTTCAACCAATCATGTCACGACAGATATGATGCCACCCACAACATTTATCTGCTGTTATATGCTGTCGTTAAAAACAGGTTGAAGTCTAGATTACAGATCCATTTGTGATCCAGCTGCCATGGAAAGCAAAGGCTATACTTTCATTAGCTGAACGGAACATTGGGCTGCAGCTTTGATCTTGCTGCCAATATTTAATGATCAAAGACGCCGATCCACTCCTACCCCTGGATAGCCCTGTTGGTGGGATTGGTCAGTTGCAATTCTGGTCCCAGAGAAACATAAATGTGATACCATAGGAAGACCACTTATGTGGCAATGTCAGATAAAATATCAGATAGAAGATTATGACACTAGTGGGTTCCCACTAAAAAACGCTTCAAGAGCTGTACACGCCCACCACCGACCCCAACCACCTCCTGCCAGCTCTGATGCAGCTTGAATTATTAATAACCAAGGTTACATCTGTGCATAAGTGAATGTTTTTCAGAACCGCCAACATGTCTGCACTTACTGAAGATTAACTGAAGATTAAGCATCTGCAGTGAACTGGTGTTTACACATAGCGTATCAGAGGAATTTGGAGGAATGTTTCCCCATTTAAAAAAACTTATTTTAGAAGCAAAGATAACCTTTGGTATTAAGAGTAAACTATGGATAAATTCAAGACAAAAATGACAGCAAATTACCTTTTGTTAAACTCTCTTTGTTCAGAGAGATTAATAACACCTTTCGTACAATTGGACTCTTAAATGTAGGATAATAAACAGTGTGGGATATTCCTTTTAATGTGTTGGTCACAGTTGTCTTTTTATCACCTTGTATCCAGGTGCTCGGATCGAGGAGTTCATCTATGACAAGCTGGACAAGAAGCTTCCCTCCAGGACGACCAACGCGGAGCTGCTGGGTCAGTACATGCTGGACGCCGCCATCGAATTCGGTTCAGACACGCCATACGGTGAGTGGACCTGCAGCTGAAACTGACACTGCTGCAGCTAATGACTCATGAAGCTCTAAATGCTCCTCTGAAGCAGCTCTCTTTCTGTTAGCAGTTAAAGAGCACACCATTTTACAACATTTTCGAGAAAACAAAAAAAAAATGTGGATGTGGATGCTGCTTAAACAGCTAAAACACACTTTAGTCCAAATTGTATTTAAAAACCGATTTGATTGTTTTGTCTCCATCAAACCTGTGGTTTGAACCTGAGTGTGCTGCTGTGCTGTTGTAACTGTAGGCAAGACCCTGATCACAGTAGCGGAATACCAGAAGAGGCTCGGAGGAGCCGAGCGCGAGTTCCTCCACACTTCAGCCGTCACTTTCCTCTCACCTCTGCGCAACTTCCTGGAGGGAGACTGGAGGACCATATCAGTGAGTGTGTAGTATGAAAATATGGTAGTATATGTAAATACGGACGTGCTGATACAAAATAGGAATGAAGTCTTTGCAGCTGTAAGCATCCTTATTACATCCTTTAGGAAAGCAAAAGAGAAAGTGCCGTCCCAGAATTCACAGCATCATTAAAAACAACAGTGATGTGTCGGTCGCGAATGAAACTGCTCTTAGAGCCGGCTCTTTGAAGTGAATGACGCGAGCCGTGGGTTGTTTTTTTTTTTTTTTCTTTCTCTCAGCCTCTCTCTCGCACTTTTTTCCGCTTCACTCTGCACGCGAGCCTTGTGCTTGCGCTGGGCAGAGGGGGGAGGGGCGGTAATTACACTCACAGTAGCACAGGAACAGAGCGGGAGGGAGAGAGAGAGAGAGAAAGAGAGCCAGGGACAACAACGTCACATTAGAAAGGTATAGTAATCATCCACAACTATTTTCAGTTGCGGATGATAAAGGATTCAGAAAGTTTATTCATGCAGGTCCATATGACAGAGAATATGCATCTTCTTTTTATTTTCATATTTTAATTTATATTTAATTGTGTTGTGGTTTGCAGTGTTTTGTGTTGTTTCAGTTTAAATTTGTAAAAGGAAAAAGCTGAAAATTTAAATAGTTAAAAGTTGAAATGTGAATAGTTGGTTTTTGTATTATATGATTTATTTATTACATTTTATGTGGAGTGAATAAATAAAAGTATATTTACGGTGGCCCGTACAGACAAAACACGTACAAAACACAACAGAAGTGCTCCAGGATGCTGGGCGCAGTGTTGAGCTTTTGTTACCTGGTGGCTACACAAGCCAGGAAGTACCAACGACCGGATTTGGTGTGTGGTAGTAACATGTAAATGAACATTTTTTTATTCTATTTTTTGTATATATATGAGTGCTTGTGTATAAATACACAAACCATACACATATGCTTTCAATTGTGTTATTTAAGTGATCTAGGTAGCTCTGTTTAGGAAGTTCAGTTAACTCTAGGAATGTGTTTTGGAGTTTGCGTGTGCCTTGTCTCTAGGGGCCACCGTATATATTTATATATAAATAAAACCACGTTTTTTTAGATTAGTAATTCCTTTTGTGCATAATTTCATATTGTTGTTAATAATAAATTAATGAACGCAACAAAACAACCTGAAGAGCCGGTTGGGAGTCGAAAGAGCCGGCTCTCTAAAAAGAGCCGGAAATCCCATCACTAAAAACAAACAGTCAACATGGCTGTGTGGTGAATATCATGAAAATGTTCATTAATAGTGTGTTTTTCATTTAATGCCATAACCTGCTGATATGTTTGAACCTTTAAAACCGCAGCTGAACTCTGACCTTTACACAGCTGCAATAACAGATGAGTAGGTTTCAGTGACAGCGTTGGCATGCATGATGATCTCAAGCATACCTGAAGTGAGAATTTGGACAAAGTTAAACTACTGACAAAGTTTAACTTGTAATTTGCACTTATTGGAAATCTCAGCAAGTCTCAAAATGTTAAAAATCGCAGTAAAATCATATTGTGATTTGTGATAATATCGTATCGTATTGAGAGCAGTCAGGCTCTCTGAGCAGCAAACCTCTCCTTTCCTCTGTCCTGACCAGTTCTTCTTCACATTTTTCCCTAACCTCATGACTTTTTCCACAAAAAAAGAGTGACTGGGAAAGGGAAAGTGGGAAAGGAAAGCAATACATAGGAAAAAGTGCTTACCAAAATAAAGCGGGAAGCTGAAAGAAAGAAGAAAATGTTCCTAACGCAAAGATAAAGAAGGGAAAGAATATCAGTAAAAATAAAATGGTGATCAAAACACAAATCCTGAACTCAGAGTCAGAGTGATGTACTCGCTGCTGGAGGTCTTCAGGGTGATGATGTGTTGCACAGGTTTGCTGCAGGTTTGATCCTCGCGGTTGTTCCTGAATGAATCATTTTTCTTCCTCGTGCAGAAAGAGAGGCGGCTGCTGGAGAATCGCCGGCTGGATCTGGACATCTGTAAGGCACGCCTGAAAAAAGCCAAGCTGGCAGAAGCCAAAGCGGCGGTGAGATCAAATTTCAACAGTTCTTCTTCTACCCTAAGATCAGAAACCATCAGAGCACAGCCAGACTCAGACAGCTTTAAGTGAAGTCAGTCAGGTGCTCATTTTGTTCTTGTTTTGGTCACATGTTCAGAGTGCATGTGTGCAGATTCACCTCTGACATGTTGGAGAGCTTACTGGCTGGCTGCGCTGCTTGTCGCATGTTTGTCAGATTCATGAAGGAAAAGTTCCTAACGCTTCTTTATGCACCAACTCTGCATGGAAATATTACAAACAGTCTTTTGGTTTAGTCTTTAAAAACTCCAACAGATGCAGTGGACGCCTCGTTAGCAGACGGGTTGATGGCTGCTCTGTTAACACTCGTAGAGCAGCAGATGTCTCAGCCATGACCGGATTATCAGAACTAAAGTCCAGTTCAGTGATCACTGGGAGCCTTCAGAGTTCATCTGTTCACCATCGCATTGATTTTAAAGTGATTTAATCTAACACAGCTACCTCAGATTATCCTATGCATGCAGGAATGTAAGAAAACAAACACGGTAAACCTGATATTAGTTGATGCTGGTGAGCTATCTCAGAGGCCTGTGGTACCAACAACTCTGAATCAGGAACAGCAGGGGGCGCCCGTGTCACAAAACAAAACATCAGTACCGGTTTACTCCGATCAAATGAGCCCTTCAGTAGTAGATTTATGACAGGGATTAATAATCTTTTACATCACAAGAGACATTTTATGGGGATTTTTGATCCTCAAAAATCTTAATGGGGCCACAAAACATATTTAAGCTTAAAAATGGAAGGTCCAATCAATCCAATCAATGTCATTGATGTTAGTAATTCAGATATTTTAACACAAGATACTTTAAGTTCAATTTTATTTCTACAGCATATTTAAAAGCAACAAAGTTGATGGAAGTTCTTTACAAGTTAGTTTAAAACAAACAAGAAAAGACCATAGACCAATAAATAAATATTATAAAGTAAGTCGTGAAAACAAACAATAAATTTAACTTACAACAAGCTAAAAAAAGACACTACAAGATAAAAAAGAAAAAGCCAGATGGGACTCAACGTGAAACTTAATTTAAAGCAAAGGTAAACGAAGTGAGTTTGAAGACAGGATTTAAAAGAATCTCCAGCACAAATATGGAGTTTCAGGTTATTCCAGAGTCTCAGGGCTTCAACTCGAGACCTCAGCAGTCAGAGGAACTTTAGCTGCTTTAAATCTAGAAACCTGAACAGAGGTAGAGTCGGTGTAAACCTGCTAAAACCGCAGTGATGTGATCATGTTTCTAACACCTGTTAAAAGATGAGCAGCAGTATTTTGGACAAACTACAGATGAGTTTTCAAGACACACCTGTAGAGAATTACAGGCATGAATGAGGTTTTTCATGGAGGACGATAGGATTTCTAAAATTATAGAAGCTGAAAAACTTCTATTTCCAATAAAACACAAAATTTTTAAAGTGGAAGAAAAATCTACCAGCATGATCAGACCTTCCTCTGTTTGTGAAAAAAAAATCAAATCAAAAGTGTCCTTTTAGTAAACTTTAAAAAATAAAACCACACAGCAGCTTTAAAAGGAGATAAATTATTCACTGTGACGTCTCTTTGGGGTCAGCAGGAGTCACAGGTTAAATGCTGTGGATGCTTCCAGCTTCAGGCTCAATGATCCGCTCTCGTTGTGGTTGCTTTGTGCTTCCTGCTAACATGTTTTTCTTTGTCTGCTCACGGTTTGTAACTGCATGACAACCTGTGTTTGTTTCCTCCTCCTTGCTCTCCTTTGCTGTAGGCTACACCTGATTTTCAGGAGACTCGGCCTCGAAATTATGTTCTTTCTGCCAGTGCATCAGCGGTAAGAGAAACGAGCAGCACCGCAGAGCTCATGGCTCACATGACAATCAAGAAACTGCATTTTTAACATGTCATATGCAAACAACTCCATAAGAAGCTAACAGCAGCATCTTTAAGTCTGACTGGCAGCTGAAGCTGTTAACACAGGCTTGTTTAACAACCGGGTTTCCATTTACCATCAACCTGTTATGTATTTTCTTTGGTTTTACTTATTATCAAAAATTTAGTTTTTCTTTCTTTTTATATTAAATATACTAATTTCATGGCAATCACAAATGAACAAAGTGAACCGGAAGTGAGGACAGTGGGGGGAAAAACAGCCGTATGATTTTCTAAAAAAAAAACCCCAAAATGCACAATTTCTGCATATGTTGGAAATATATGAAAATGGATTTTTAATTGTATTTTTATTTATTTTCTTTTTGAGAAAGCAACCTCACTAGTCAAATAAACAAAAATAACCTGAGGTGAGGAAAGTGAGCCGTCATAAAAAAACAGCCATTCTGTCACATTAAATATGAATTTATAATTAATGACTCATCAGGTTACACAAAGGTTACATTGACAAACAGAAAAAAGCCAAATGAAATCAATTGTATCCATAATGTAGGTGCAGAAACGTAAAAGTCTGATTTACTCTCTTAGTTTTAAATTATTATTATTATTATCATTATTGTTATTAATGATAATGATAATAACAACAATGAAACAAGCCTTGTTCTGATGGAGGTTTCTTCCTATTAAAAGGGAGTTTTTCCTTCCCACTCTCGCCAAAGTGTTGCTCATGGTGGGTGATCTGATTGTTGGGGTTTCTCCGTATTAATGTGTCTTTAATTTACAGTGTAAAGAACGTCGAGGCCGCTGTTATTGTGGTGAAATAAAATGGAAATGAACTATCACTCCCCTGATACTAGTACTGCTACTGTTATTAGTGCTGCTACTGCTTCTGCTACCAGTCTTGCTATCAATATGATTTCAGCTACTGTAAAATAGAATTTCCCAATAATGGGCAGAAATACTATTTATTATTCTTTTTTATTATTATTATTTATGTATTCTTTTTTTTTTTTGCTTGCTTGAGAAAAGGAAACCCAATAAGCTAAAGGTTTTGTGTTTCACTGCTTCAGTTTTTTTTAATGGTTCTCAGATGTATTAAAAAACTGTTCAAATCAAAATGTAGTTTTGCCACAGCTGTATTAGCGAACACTGCAGGCTGCTGCTGTCACTAACAATTTGCTGCTTAAATGAAAGTTAAATAAACAGAAAAGGGGAAAAAAATCTAATTTCATTACCAGGATCTCAGATTTTTAATCTGAGCAGCATTTTTCTGCAAATCGCACTCAAAAAGTTTTTTTTTTTTTAGACTGAAACGCACACGTGACAGCTTTTTAACCCAGTGAGATCCTGACCTGTTGTTTTTAGAGGACAACACAAGAGTTTATTTCTTTACTTCTGCTGGAACGTTTATAATTTCAAAGAAAGCTCAGGGATGAACAATAGGAAGGTATAAAAATGAAAACACAACACAGCATGTAATCTAAACCTGGCCGTGTCTTCTCAGAAGAAAAGCTGTTTACAGAAGTATGTGAGCACAGATGAGGAACACAAAGATCTGAAAGTGAGATTTGTTTTATCTCAGCTGAACCCATCAGGGCTCTGGAGTTTACACTTCACTGGCTCCTTTATTTTGTGCTAACACCTAGAAAATAAAAAGTTGTCAGATTGCAGATTTCACAGCATGAGTGATCTTTCAGGGCTGTGTTTTGAATGTTTAGTCAAGCATGTCGTGTTAGCCATGAGATAACCGTGTTTGTGCATGACGTGTTACAGATGACACAAGCATGTTTGAGCATGGTTATTATTGTTTAGTTTTGGCTCTGATGCTTTTAAATGAGGCCTTGTTGAAGTTTATTGTATGTCCATGTGAAATAAAACAAAAACGGCAGCTTCAGCTCAAACAGAAACACCGCTCAGCAGAACCTGGAAGAAGCATGGACTTTTATTTTGAAAAATCACTGTAATTCATTGGAGTCATAAGTTCTTAATTATTTTTATGATCAAATCACATTCCCTGATAAATACAGTCCCTGGGATCCTTGTCACTTTATATTCAACTATCTTGTATTTGTAACCTGCCTGATTTTTATGGCTTCACTTACGATCGTGGCTCAAGAGTTGGGAGTTCGCCTTGTAATCGCAAGGTTGCCGGTTCGAGCCCCGGCTTGGACAGTCTTGGTTGTTGTGTCCTTGGGCAAGACACTTCACCCGTTGCCTACTGGTGGTGGTCAGAGGGCCCGGTGGCGCCAGTGTCCGGCAGCCTCGCCTCTGTCAGTGCGCCCCAGGGTGGCTGTGGCTACAATGTAGCTTGCCATCACCACTGGGTGGATGACTGGATATGTAAAGTGCTTTGGGTCCTTAGGGACTAGTGAAGCGCTATACAAATACAGGCCATTTACCATTTATTTTACCATAAAATTAAAATATCCTTAAAGAGCCTCTGTGCAAAGCCTCAGTTCATGCTCAGTCTGAAACAAGCCTTTTTAGCTCCTCCCCCTTTCAGAGGGCTTTCTTCTGATTTAAGCAGAAGTGGTTGGAGCTTCAAATACCTGGTTTAGAGTCGACTGAAACCTGAGGTTATACCTTCATGTTGTTATTTATTGGCCGTGTTTAATATTAGTGCTGGAAATGTATGTGACAGGAAATAATCTGTTATGTTATTTCAGACAGTTACAGTGTTTATGCAGCGTATGATTTTTTATTTATTTTTGATTTTTTGACCCCCTCTGTGGTTTCATTAAACCAGCTGCAGAGCGGCTGGGAGAGCTGGGACGTGGAGCCCGACCCGGTCGTGTCAGAGCAGAGGAAGGTTGGACACGTGGAGAGACTAGAAGTCCCGTGTTTGTTTAGTAGTTTGGGTAGAAAAGACATGTTTTTTAGGGTGTTTCATGGTTATTTCCCCCCCTGTTTAGAATTCACAGTTGTTTTGTTCCCTCCCTTTGTTATTTTTAGAGCGCACAGAACACAGAGATAAACTAGGCATCGGTTAGGACACTCTCAGAAGATCAGATTTTAGGAAATTCACTGATTACTTTTGCAGATTGAATCAGCAAACTAGACCAAAGAGATGTCACACAGTTTCCACTGGAGACTTTTCTGGTAAATTTGGGAAATAAATTAACTTTATAAAAATCTGTGAAGCTGGAGAAATGCAATAAATTGTATTCTTTGTGTGACACAAGATAGGAAGGACCGTACCTTTTATTCACAAAAAGAGCCTCAAGGTTACCGTTTCATTCATCCCAAATGGACAGGGGAATTTTTTATTTTAATGTTAATAACATTATAACAGACATGCAGTGTTTTAAAAAAATATATCATAGCCTCTTTAAATTTTTCACATTCAGACCAACACGTTGTTCAAAATGTTTTACAAATAAAAATCTGTGTGGCCTGCGTATGTATTCAGGCCCCTTTACTCTAACAGCCCTAAATAAAAGAGGTCGTCTAATAAATAAACAGAGTCCAGAGTATGTCCTTTAATCTCAGTCTAAATACAGAACACGGTTCTGTGACAGCCTCAGAGGAACATTAGAGAACAAACTGCATCGTGAAGACCAAAGAACTCACAATTTTTCACATAAACTAGTATAAACCTGCACACAGGGATACACATCTACATTTAGGATGGTTAAATGTGAGAGATACACATATCGACGGGCCGGGTTATGTTAAAAAGTATAAATGGTTATACTTTGTTCATTGGTTCAAAGGTACCCCACACTTCTTTTTTGTTTGCTTGTTTGTTCTGGTACTCATATTTACAAGATGGCATTGAACGCCCATTGGTGTGTTAGAAAAACTCTTTTGTACATATGTTCCTTGAAGGGGTTTTTTTGGAGTGGTTCTTTTTCCACCGCAGCAAAGGGCTAGGAGTCGGAGAGGAGCTGCTGTATGTTTTTGTGTTGATCGGATTGTGAAATAAAACATATACAGTGAGAAAGCAACTCGAGGAGTCATCCCTGCCTTAAAGCTGCAACATATCATGGCGAGCCAGCCAGGAGGAAGGTTTGAAGAACTTCCCGCACGAGAGTGAAGCAGAAGCCTGGTTAGCGCCATTAGCGGCTAACGTTAGCGCTACCGCACGGCTGAAGAAAAACCTTTCTCCAAGCACCGGACCTGAAATCTGACGGACTAAAGACAAGCTTGTGAGTACCCACAATGGAGATAGAAGCCCGACGAGATAAGATCACCGCCACACTCTGCCAGCTAAGTCGTGATCAGCTCATAGAAGTGGGTTATAAGGTGAAAGGCTTTGCTACACCGCTAAATGAGCCTACAAAAGACACTTCCAGACGCCAACTGATGAAAGTTATAGAACATAAACTGGACGAGGTGGAAAACAGTTATACACCAGACGACGCTGTACAGTTTGTGAAAGAACTTTTATCGTTTTGGGCGAATATAAAGCTAAAGACAATACGGCCGAGAGTGATTCTTCCCGCCCTTCAGACGCAAGAGACAAGTATGACGAGCTGCAGGAAGAAATTAGAGCGATAGGGCAGAAACTCAAGATGGCGGACGCTGTCCCGAACCTGCTGTCTTCTAAAGTACCAGAGGTGACAATTCGCAGGGAGTTTCGCATCTGTGGCCAATAGGTGAGGGAGGGCAGCGCGATCGGCTGTCCTATACCAACCTGCTGCATCAGATGGAAAATGGACTCCGCAAAGGCCACAGTGAGTCAGAAGTTATTGAAGCAGTGATAAGAGCCATCAATCCAGGTCTCAAACTGCGTGATATGCTTGAAATAAAGACTGATTTGACACTCACACAGTTAAAGACAATATTAAAAGGACATTACCGAGAAGATGACACATCTGATTTGTACCAAAAACTGATAAATATTTCCCAAGATCCAAAAGAGTCAGCTCAAGACTTTTTATTCAGAGCCATTGAGCTTAAAGATCGCCTCCTGTACGCATCCAAGGACAAAGAAGCAGAACACTACAGTCGGGACCTGGTAAAAAGGAAGTTTTTGAGATCAGTGGGTACTGGGCTGCAAAATGACAACATAAAGTTCCAGATTAAAGCCCTTCTTGACAACCCAGATGTGACTGATGAAATGCTGATTGAGAAACTAAATGAAGCTGCCAATCTCGAGACAGAAAGACTGAACAAGTTAAAGAGGAACAATACAAAACCACCAAGAATCAATGAGCTATATACTAGGGATGAACCACGCAGCAGCTCGCAGATCCCCGCCACCAGGAAGACAAGAAAAATCATCCTCCACCCGAAATGCACGACCTGGTGAAAGAGCTGAGGAACGAGGTTGCAGAGGTGAGGCAGATGGTTCTTGCTTCCCTGAACGCTGGCAAGTC